GTTGTCATGGTTGTTACCTCTTATTACTATTATTATTATTATTATTATTATTATTATTATTATTATTATTATTATTTATATCATCGTGTTTTTGCTGGTTTTGATGGCGAAACTCTGGAAGATGTAAAATCCTTCACATACGTGGGAAGCATAATCGACGAACAACAAGGTTCAGATGCAGACGTAAAGGCGAGGATTGGCAAAACAAGGACAGCATTCCTACAGTTGAAAAACATATGGAACTCAAAACAATTGTCAACCAATATCAAAGTGAGAATCTTCAGTACGAACGTCAAGGCAGTTCTACTGTACGGAGCTGAAACTTGGAGAACTACAACAACCACCATCAAGAATGTACAAGTATTTATAAATAGCTGTCTACGTAAGATACTCAACATCCATTGGTCGGATACCATCAACAACGGCCTACTGTGGAGAGAACAAATCAGCTTCCAGCTGAAGAAGAAATTAGGAAAAGACGATGGAAATGGATAGGACATACATTACGCAAATCGTCAAACTGCATCACGAGGCAATCCCTAACTTTGAATCCTGAAGGGAAGAGGAAAAGAGGAAGGCCAAAGAACACATTAGGTCGAGAAATCGGAGCAGATATGAAAAGGATGGATAATGACTGGAAGGAGCTGGAAAGGATTGCCCAGGACAGGGTTGGATGGAGAATGCTGGTGAGCGGCCTATGCATCTTCACGAGGAGTAACAGGCGTAAGTAAGTAAGCAAGTAAGTTTTTGCTTTATTTTATGCAAAATTAATGTGCGTTTTCATTTTTGCCATTTTATTTAATACATTGGTGAAAAAGAAACAGAATTGATCCTATAAGATATTTAAGTAGTATGGAAAGATTAACAAAATGAATACTTTTTCATATTGAATAACAATCCTAATAGAACAGTGTCTATATATAAACTTAATAGATTGATCATGTGAAAGTAAAAAAAATGTTCTATATTTCCTTGAATTCTTTCATTTTATTGAAATATCATTTGAAAGCTTAACCTTTAAATGGAGAAGAAGAAGGAGAAAAAGAATGAAAGTAGGAAATTTCTCAATTTTCATGTATAATCTACAATATTGACTATAGCTGAATTATTTCAGTGAAAATAAACATCTTTTTTTAAAAAAATACACTACACAGTGTGATAGTTACATCATGTAGAGTTTATTATTCTCGATCAATAAAAAACAAACCCAGTTTTCTAGGACTTTACAATTTTAAGTTACTGAAAACATTCTAGTAGTATTGTGGTGTATAGTATTTATGTTAACAGATATAAGTAGTATGTAATATCATTTTAGAAGTGGAATGTTTGTCAAAAGAGATTTGAGAAGATGGAATTGGAGAGAATAGAAAAGAATTGGAATAAAAACAGGATTGGAAGAATCATAAAGGATGTAAGGAGCAATTGAAAGTTGTGTAAATGATGTATTGATGTATGATTTTCACAAGTTACTAAACCACTATGTGACTGTACATTAGAAAACAATTTATTTTTCTACATCTGAGTTCGCATTCATTAAAGTATATTCTAATCATTTTCACTTGAATATTCCTATCGAATTATTTTAATCATTAATTGTTTTCTGTGTATGAAATTTGTTGAATATTTTGAAGGTATAAAAGATGAGAAGTGAACATAAATTCACTTGATATTGTTTACTTGGATCTTCTCATTGTTATTTAGGACCACAATTGATCAACCTCTTATTGGTATATGTGCATCCTATACGAATCGCCTCGATATTGCCTTAATTTACAAGCATTCTAAACAAAGATGGATAGTGGCTAGCATCACTGGGAAGTTTTAAGTAAACAATAACAAGTAAGTTTAAACTTCATCCGATTGCACAAGCAAGTGGCTACCATGACTCAGTAGCTAAGTAGATGATGCGATAGTGTTTGAAGTGAATTGTACTAGGTTCGAGTGGTGGAGTGAACATCAACTCTGGGATGCAGGTAAATCCAGTTGGAGAGTCCCAAATGGGATGAAACATACTTCCTGAATTTTACTGCTAGCTACCATCCAACTTTGCTTAGAAGTGTACATAAGCATTAGAAATTTCATTCCTATATACCAATGAAAAATAAAGGTAAGCGTATAAATTACTTTTTTCCAAGTTAATGTAGCTTTTAGAAAAAAAGCCTACTAGATGTTGACGTGTAAAGTATTTACAATCCTATCTTAATATAGTTTGAACAACTTGTGTCGTTTAAAACTTAAATATTAGTATTAACGACGTTATTTTGGTAGATTTACTCAAAAGATTCATAGGAGGGTCGTCGATTTGCACCTCTGAGGAGTTATATATTAGGATGTAACATTTATCGAGGGCTTTCTGGTCTCTAGTGGCTGCGTATCTCTAGTCGGTCAGTGATGTAAACGAAAATATTCAACAGTCTCCATGACACCACCTATACTGATTGTGATCTTTATCTACAACATGAATGCTTCCAGGTTTTCCATTGTTGTCTAGCTTCAATATCCACAAAACCCCTCTCTGATTATAATAATAAGTGTTCTACGTAAAGAAAAGGACTCGCAAAACAAGGACAGCATTCCTACAGTTGAAAAACATATGGAACTCAAAACAATTGTCAACCAATATCAAAGTGAGAATCTTCAGTACGAACGTCAAGGCAGTTCTACTGTACGGAGCTGAAACTTGGAGAACTACAACAACCACCATCAAGAATGTACAAGTATTTATAAATAGCTGTCTACGTAAGATACTCAACATCCATTGGTCGGATACCATCAACAACGGCCTACTGTGGGAGAGAACAAATCAGCTTCCAGCTGAAGAAGAAATTAGGAAAAGACGATGGAAATGGATAGGACATACATTACGCAAATCGTCAAACTGCATCACGAGGAGTGCGGCAAAAAGGAAAAATAATTTCCACTCGCCCACTGTATCATAGTTTCTATGTTATCAGTAATCCTAGGCTTAGATTTCAGTCAAAATATAGATTTACTCTTTTGGTAGTGTTACGTACTCTGAAATGGATAAATTAATTATAAACCCTTTATTAATCTCCTGTACAACATTATTAGACTTGAAATTTAAATGAGCTCTATGAAATTATTCTAGTATGTTTATGAGTGTGAACTCTTGAGGAGTCCCATACAAGCATGAAACACATCTAGATTTTTTCCGTGTTTTTCAACAGTAGTCTAACTGAAATCAGTCTGTGATGAATACAGCCTACATAGTCTACAAAAAAACGTCAATATTATTTTAATGGCCTCAATTGTAGTAAATTGTTTCCTAGTATTTTGTCAATTTCTAATCCACTTCCAATCAGTTTAATTATTCTGTCAGACCAACAACTGTAGTTAACTATCAGTATGGGGGTTGTGGAGATTGTTAATTTTTTGGTTGAGATCATGAATCAATTGATGTTAGACCACCGTTGGAAACCTGGAAGCACTGGACGGCCGTCTCGTCCTAGTAATGGGACTCCTCAGCAGTGCGCATCCACGATCCCGCACCCCGCGGGATTCGAACCCAGGACCTACTGGCTTCGCGCCTGAGCACTTAACCATTAGACCACTGAGCCGGCATCCAATGGTGTTAGTGTCTAACATCAACCAATTCACGAAATTGCGCGACCAACTTCCATTGTACTGAGGCAGATACCTGTCTCTACCCGACACGGATTAGCTCCAATGGTCACGACTTCTCACTAGAACTCCGAGAATTCCCTCACGAAGCTAGTCACTAGTGAGCACATGTTGAGTACTAGTAATTAACATGTGCTCACTAGTGACTAGCTTCGTGAGGGAATTCTCGGAGTTCTAGTGAGAAGTCGTGACCATTGGAGCTAATCCGTGTCGGGTAGAGACAGGTATCTGCCTCAGTACAATGGAAGTTGGTCGCGCAATTTCGTGAATTGGTTGATGTTAGACACTAACACCATTGGATGCCGGCTCAGTGGTCTAATGGTTAAGTGCTCAGGCGCGAAGCCAGTAGGTCCTGGGTTCGAATCCCGCGGGGTGCGGGATCGTGGATGCGCATTGCTGAGGAGTCCCATACTAGGACGAAACGGCCGTCCAGTGCTTCCAGGTTTCCAACGGTGGTCTAACATCAATTGATTCATGATCTCAACCAAAAAATTAACAATCTCCACAACCCCCATACTGATAATTCACATGTGCTCACTAGTGACTAGCTTCGTGAGGGAATTCTCGGAGTTCTAGTGAGAAGTCGTGACCAGTGGAGCTAATCCGTGTCGGGTAGAGACAGGTATCTGCCTCAGTAAAACTGTAGTTAAGCCAAAAAGATAAATCAAGTCGCCCAATCAAATAATGATTCAACACAGACAACGTTACACCATTAAATGTGTCCAACATAGAGACAAATATTTTTTAGCATTCAAATTACTTTGGGCTAACGAATGTAAATTAGTGATTAGCGTCAGATAATACTAGTTCTACTATATAATGCGGAAACCTGGAGAACTATGAAAGCCATCATCCAGAAGATACAAGTGTTTATTAACAGTTGTCTACGCAAAATACTTTGGATCCGTTAGCCAGACACTATCAGCAACACCCTACTGTGCGAGAGAACAAATCACATTCCACTGGTGAAAGAAATTAGGAAGAAGCGCTGGAAGTGGATAAGACACACTTTGAGAAAAGCACCCAACTGCGTCACAACGCAAGCCCTCACCTAGAATCCTCAGGGCCAAAGGGGATGAGTAAGACCAGAGAACACATTAATCCGAGAAATGGAGACAGATATGAGAAGAATGAACAAAAATTGGATAGAACTAGAAAGGAATTCCCAGGGCAGAGTGGGTTGGAGAATGCTGTTAGGCGGCCCATGATCCATTGGGGGTAACAGGCGTAAGTATGTAAGTCGAATGATAATAAATCACTTATTGTAATCCACAAAATAATTGGATGACAATTAACTTCCAAAACACGAGATATTAATGGATAATATGTTATATATATAAATCACAATTAGTACTAACCTGCCCAAATAAACTCCGACATTATAATACGTGCGAATATCCGTATTTCTCTGAAGTGTTACATTTTTGGTTAGCAGAAATGGATCAGTATCTTGATCTTCTAAAATGTAGCAATAAAAAGAGGAAGAAAATACTATTAAAGTTAGTACTAAAAGTATACTTTCTTTTCATAAATTCAGTCAGTTATTGACTTATTTTTTATTGAGATCATGAATCGATCAGTGTTAGACCACCATTGAAAACCTGAAGGAACTGGACGACTGTTTTGTCCTAATACTGAACTCGTGAGCAGTGTGCATCCACGATCCCATGAATGGATTCAAATCGAAGGTATTTGTTTCATGATCGTAAAGTCATCCGCTTAAGAAACACAGAAGAATATTGTAGGTCTTAAAACATTCCATGGCTTTTTTAATCTCATTTCATAATTGACAAGAATGCTACACAAATAAATCTATAGTACTGTACTCCAAATTCATTTTTGACCAAATTTGTTAATTAGTGAGAAATATGCTAAAGGACTGAATCAAATGATATTTCATTGTCATCTGTATGACTACAAACTATTTTAACAGTCATATTACATCGGTTAGCCAGTCAAAATCACCATACAGCATGGGACAAATACATGCGCTCACCCAATTTGCCGACCCGTATACACTCAGCAATAGTAAAATAACAAGTTGAATATTAAAGAATTCGGGATATTCATTGTAACAATGATAATGAAAAAAAACTAAGTACATATATTATGGGTTGAAGAGACGGATTGAAAAGTTATGTATGAAGAAATACCGGAACTCGAGACCTAAAGAAACATAAGAAGCAAGTCCATCTATGACTTTGTGATTGGTTCTCAACCATATCATTCAACGTCTTCAATTACTGATTACCATCATCAGTTGATTCCCTATCAGGTAGTCTGTATCTATCAACATGACTCAAACTAGCCGCTAGTAGATTTCTTCTCACTCAATCTTACACTAGCTAATACTGTTTATCAAGGTAGACAACGGTTAAGTGTATGTAAAACATGCTCTAACCATCTTAGTTAATAAAATTTTACAACCTCATCAACAGATTTGCAATCTCTACTTAATAGCCTATTTTTAAACTCTAAATTGCCCATTCAATAGTTTTATAAAACACATACAGTGTTCTAATGATACCTATGATCAAATTTTATAAATTCAACAGTTTACTGACTGAGAAATTTCCTATCTGTAATTCATCTGTATTTTTGGTAGTACTAAGGCTTTGTTTGAATTAACCAAAGAACCAGTTTTTCAATCAACTTTTACTTCCTTCACAACCAGAGGCTTGAGAATAATTTTCAACTTATGATTTTTTATGAGGTTGCTGATGACTAACAATAATAAGAATGGATCATCTGCTTTCTTGAAAATTTGAGGTGCAAATCCATATTTTGTTCGTTTAGAGTGATTTACAAATACTCTTTCATTGTCTAATTTAAGATTTAATATTAGATGAAGTAACAATACATTATAGCAAACCAGTAATTCATTATTTTAAAAGTATAGTCTCATTTCATTGTATCACTGACAACTGATTTGATTTTTAGTATAGGGGTTGTGGAGATTATTAAATTTTTGATTGAGATCATGAAACGATTGATGTTAGATCACCACCTTTGGAAACCTGGAAGCACTGCATGGCCGTTTCGTCCTACTGTGAGACTTCTCAGCAGTGCGCATCCACGATCCCGCTCGCGGGATTCGAACCCAGGGCCTTCGGTCTCGCTCGCGAACGTTCAACCTACTGGACCACTGAGCCGGAATCCAATGGTATGATTGTCTAACTTCAACAAATCCACGAAATTGCGTGACCATCTTTTATGGTACTGAGGTAGATACCTGTCTCTACCCGATCTATATTAGCTCCACTGGTCATGGCTTCTCACTAGAACTCTGAGAATTCCCTCACGAAGCTAGTCACTAGTGAGCACATGTTAATTACTAGTATAGGGGTTGTGGAGATTCCTAAGTTTTGATAGAGATTTGATTTTGATAGGAAAATGTTGTTTAAATGATAAAGACTCTAATGGATTGTTTTATATGAATCCAAATGTGAACTGAACTAATTTAAAATGAACTTATCTTTTTACTTCTTTTAAGTAATGAATATTCTATTAAAATGCTTCAATTGATATCACAATTATGACTCATTTATAGGATATTGTGTTAACTATTCGATTTCGAGCTACAGTTTAACTGTATAAAGGCTAATGATGATAAGAAAACGCCCGAAGTCAAGTAGATTTGATAGATTTGAAGTCTTTTATTGAAAATTGGCCTTAGTAGAACAACTATTAAATATCAGAACTCATCGATTAGCTGTTTCAAATTAGTATGGGTTCCTTCAGTAATGTATATCCACCAGTCTGTTGGGAATCAAACGAAAAACCTTTAGATCTTACGGGTGAGCTTTTAGCATTCATACCCCTGGCCTGGCATCTAATTTCAATCGATTTGTTATATTGTATAATCGTTCTTCAGTTTTGTTAGTGTTTAACTGCCTAATACTCAACACGGTTGAACGAAATTGGTCACAATTTCCTATTAGAACTTCGAGAACTGCTTCTCGAAACGAGTGATTGGTAAACACATGATTACTGTAAACATAAGAGGTTTTCAGAGATAATTGAATGTTACTGATATGGCATTCAGGAAATATTAGTCGATATTAACTTTACATCAAATTTAAGACTCTCCTTTTCAGTAAACTAACATGTAATAAAGTTTATTAGTAGTCGTATAATGTATAATAATTTTGTAAGTAAAATAATGAAGTGAAATATCTTAGAAAAGAAACAAAAACCAACTTGAAAAAGGAAAACTAGTTGTTTTTAAGTTAAGTTCTATCACAAAGTAATTCCAATGGCATCATCATTCAATAACCGAGAAATACATTGAAAAATTGTTCAGTTCTTATGTGAAACCTTTCAGGAGTAAGCATCTATAACTGCAAATGGCATTCAAAACATACGAAGTTTAAACTAACTAGGTCGTAATCAGATGATTTACATATCCAGCTTCAACTATTTCACTGACAGTACGCATTCATCATCAAATATATTCAGTAATTTCTGTCTGATCTCAAATAAAGATATATTCCACTATCATGAAGTTTTGCTAAAATTATTGTTGGCTTTACTTACCAGTGCATAAACATGTTATAATTATTAAAATAGAGATACTGATATAGGTTGTTAAATTTGAAGTTTTCTTTCATTGAATAACAACTATTGTGTTTCATAAGCGAAAATAATTATTAAATTTCTTAGTGTACTTCTTAATTTATTTGTATTTTCATTTGTTAAGTACAGCTTGAACAATGAATAATGTAAGAGTAATACACCTTAAAGTTTGCTTAAATTAAATGATGACTTCCTATATGATGGTCATGTCTATCGTTTAAAACTTTAAAAGACAACTAACAAAATATACACAATGGTCTAATTTACAAAGGGATAAATTATTTCAATGATTAAGATCATGAATCAGTTGAAGCTAGACCATCATGGAAAACTTGGAAGCACTGGACGGCCGTTTCGTCTTATTGTGGGACTCCATAGTGGTCTAGCTTCAACTGACTCATGATCTTAATCATTGGAATTACTATATTATCCACAAAACCCATCGGATAAATTATTGTTGTAAATTATAAATATTCAAGGAAAATTTGATCATGTCGTGTTCGGATGACGCTTAAATAAAATGATTTTATTCACTAGGTACTAGAAAATGTCGTACAGTTATTGAATGAGAGGTTTCATTAACATCGAAAAACAGTCTATTGTGATGTAGATTACCTTAGACTAATGATCACATTCAAATTTAATAGTTAAATTCATGAGTCAATTTAAGCTAGATCACCATGGAAAACATGTAAGCGCTGGACGGTCGTTTCGTCCTAGTACAAGACTCCTCAGCGGCGCACAGTTACTCACTGAAGACAATGTTAGACGGTCGAGCAATATCATGAATTAGTTTAAGCTAGATATCAACATCAGCTCAGTGGTCTATAGTTTAAGCGTTCACGCACGGCACAGAGGGTTTTGGGTTCGATTCCCACGTGCGGGATCGTAGTTGCGCACCGATAAGGAGTCTCATACTAGGACGAAACGGCCGTCCACTGTTTCCAGATTTTCAGTGGTGGTCTAGCATTGATCCATGCAAGATATCAATCTAAAATCAACAATCGTTTGGTTGTCATATTTTTAAAAACTTCAATAATGATTTTATTAAAAGTTTTGAATAATAATCATTGTAATTACGAACACAGAACCTAAGGGCAGTGTTGTGGACGAGAATACAAGTGGGGACAATCAAATGTCTTTGAATACAAAATTACAGAATATCTTAGTAAAATCTGAGAACTATGCAGTAAATACTTAATTTGCAAAATGTTAATCACTTGTCTTAAACTTGACTATTCCTTTTACAAATGTCAATCAATTGTCACAAACTTCACTGTTCTTTCATTTCCACAGTAATCATTCACTGTTTTCGTCCTCTTTTCTTGGATTTTCTTAATTTTCTGCCAGGTATTTTACTACTACTACTACTACTACTACTACTACTACTACTACGTATACTGTTTAAATCTATCGACATCAGTAGCACACTGATACTTTTTCATTGATTTTGTTACATGAACATATTACTTTAATTTGAAAGATTAGAAAAGGTACTAGTAAATCTTAAATTGATTAATAATTGAATGTCTTTATTACATACACTTTAAGTAATTATCATCCATTTGTTTGAGTGAACAATTTCCTACTAAAGATTAACTACAAATAACTTTATATATCTACATACTTATACATGAAGTGATCCAAGGCGAATAAATCGTGTTTAGGATGTCATATTGGAGACAACAGTGAAATATAGATTGGTATGACAAGTTAAATAAATCATTTTTATTTTTATTTTCCTAAATCTGGTTTGTTTTATGATCAATTACATTGGGGAGATTGGTAAGAAATTAAAGATTAAGTAACAATTCTGTATGGATAAATGAATAAATACATGTGTATATGTATGTATGCATAGATTGATTGATGGATGGATGAAT